TGCCAAGATAGCAGCAATCAGAGATTGGCCGAACCCCCGCACCTTGACTGAGTTGCGGTCGTTTCTTGGGTTAGCCAACTACTATCGAAAGTTCGTAAGACACTTTACGATAATAGCTGCTCCCCTTCACCGATTGCTTAAGAAAGAAGTAATTTGGAAGTGGGATTCAGACTGCACTATGTCTTTCAAGCGTCTGAAAAAGTGTTTGATTAATTATCCGGTTCTTAAAGTGGCGGACCCTTCCTTATCTTTCGTGGTCACGACCGACGCTAGTCAATATGGTATAGGTGCTGTACTCCAGCAAGATGATGGGCATGGATACAGACCTGTAGAGTTTATGTCTTGCCGCTTACCTAACGAGAAGGTGGCCGCTTCAACGTATGAACGAGAGTTGTATGCTTTGCGTGAGGCTCTCAATCATTGGCGACACTACCTTCTAGGAAGGCATTTTAAAGTATACTCTGACCATGAAACACTCGCTGGCTCAAAACGCAGGCTCGAATGACACCTAAGTGGACAAGGTGGGCTGCAGAGATTGATATGTTTGACTTTGAGTTGAAGCCAGTCAAGGGTAAGTATAACGTTGTTGCTGATGCACTAAGTCGTAGATCAGACTTTTTCGATGCTATTGTACCTTATCTAGATGTAGGTGCAGACCTACAAGAAAAGATTAGAAATACGTATCCCTTTGATCTTGTTTATGAAACCATGATTAAGCTAGTGCAAGAAAGGCCAGCAGAGTTTCCCGATCATAAACTAACTCAGGGTCTATTGTTTGAACGAACTGATGTACATGATCGGTTGTGTATACCCAATAATGAAGAGATCAAGAGTATGATCTTGGGGGAATGCCATGATACAGAAGGCCATTTCGGGTGGAAGAAGACCTATGAGACTTTATTGCGTTCCTACACCTGGCCTCGAATGAAAGCGGATTGTATCGCGTATGTGCAGGGTTGCCAAGTGTGCCAACGAAACAAAAGCACCACGCAATCGCCCCTCGGGCTACTTAAGCCCTTGCCTATCCCTACCGGCCCTGGAGACTCTGTCTCTATAGATTTCATGGATACTAAGGCAAAGAGCAGAAATGGGAAAACGCAAGTAATGGTCATAGTGGATAGATTCACTAAGTATTCTATTTTTGTAGCTTTGCCTGCGGAACCAAAGACTGAATTGGTAATTCGGGAATTCTTTAATCATTGGGTAAAAGACTTTGGACATCCCTTGACTATAGTAAGTGACAGAGATACTAGGTTCACAAGCGAACAATGGCAGCAACTGATGAATGTTTATGGCTCTAAGTTGACAATGTCCTCAGGTAGGCATCCTGAGACTAATGGTCAGACTGAGCAGATGAATAAGATATTGCAGCAAACTTTGCGCATGTACATTCGTCCCGATCAGATTGACTGGGATGAACATCTGCCTAAAGTTGCAAGTGCCTATAATAACTTTGTACATCTATCTACATGCAAGACTCCTATGGAGTTACATCTGGGATGGCGTCCACGCAGACCCATTGATCGGTTGAACCCGGATCAAGTACATAAGCTTCCTATAGGGACTAGTGAATTTGCAGTCCAATATCAGAAAGACATTGAGAAAGTAAAAGAAAATATACTCAAAGCACAACATCAGATGATTGAACAGGCAAATAAGCATAGACGCCCGTCTTAATTTGCTGTAGGAGATTTGGTTTGGGTGAAGTCTAAAGAGTTTGCTCCTGAAGAGAACATCTCTCAGAAGCTTCTACCCACCTATAGAGGACCTTGGCAAGTTTTAGACGTAATTGGAGATGTGGATGGTCCTTATTATGTCATTGAGATTCCTTCACATCTACGTACGTATCCAGTGTTCCATGCGTCCAAACTCTTACCTTGTGTAACAAATGAGCTCTTTCCCAGTCGCCGATCAGCGATACCTCCAAGTATGGATGGGAAGTATGACGTAGATAAAATTGTTGCAGAAAGTACTTACCACACTRGACGTAGAGGCAGACCACAGCGACAGTATAAGGTGAGGTTTGCATACCAGGATCCTAGTGAAGATCGCTGGTTTACAAGAGAAGAGTTGTTAGATTTTGCACCTCATATTGTGTCTGCATACGAAAGCGCAAAGAGAGGGATTCATATCCTTGATAGGTAAATGATTCTCAGAGGACTTTGAAACTAGGTCGGCGAGAGTAAAAGGACCTTTACCCGATATAGGCCTCAGGCCTTGTAAAAATAAAGCAGCACGGGCCTTGAAAAAGTAAAGCATTGTGAAAAGGTATCT